ATGACAAGTTATGGGAATGCAAACTATCCAGCAACGCTGCCAATTATGAAAGTTGACAACTATGAGAATTGGTGCAAACATATGAAAGTCTTATTCAGGTGTCAAGGTCTTTGGGACCTTGTAAAAGATGGAGTCGAAGCGCTTGGCGAAAATGCTTCAGAAGAAGAAAAGAAGAAATACACAGAATCTGAGAAGCTGAGTTATAAAGCATTATTTATAATTCATCAATGTGTCAGCCCAGACAATTTAGAAAAGGTTAGTGATTCAGAATCTGCAAAAGAAGCTTGGGAGATCCTTGAGAAGTCTTTTGGAGGCGCTGAGAAGGTGAAAGAAGTGAGGTTACAAACTCACAAAAGAACCTATGAACTGCTTCAGATGGAAGACAGTGAAAACATATCTGATTTCTTCACTAGAGTTACAAAACTAGTAAATCAAATCAAGATATGTGGAGAAGAGTTAACAACAAGAGCTGTTGTGTCGAAGATCTTGAGATCTTTAGCTCCTAAGTTCGACCACATAGTGGTGGCGATAGAAGAGGGGAAAGACTTGTCGAAATTGACAAAGGAAGAGCTTCAAGGGACGCTTGAATCTCATGAACAAAGAATGAACGAAAGAGCTGCAGGAAAATCGAAGAGTGATGTGGCCTTGCAGGCACATTCAGCAAAAGAGACCAAAGGCAAAGGAAAGTGTTTCGACAGAGGTAGAGGTGGCTACAACAAATCGAATGGTATAGGAAACCAAATCAAAGGAGACGTGTCGAATCAAAGAAGACCATACCAAGGAAACCAAAGAGGTGGTGTTGCAAATAGAGGAAGATGTGGTGGTCGAAAACCTGATAAGAGTCACATTCAATGTTACAATTGTCAGAAATATGGACATTATTCGAGTGATTGTCCAGAAAAACGAAAGAATAAAGAAAGTGATGCAAAGCTTGCAAAACATGAAGGAGAAGAGATGATGCTGATGGTCACACCAAGAGATTAAGATAGATTCAAGGACCAATGGTACTTGGATTTAGGATGTTCATCACATATGTCTGGAAGGAAAGATTGGTTTGTCAATATAAAGCCCTCAAAGAAAAATATGGTAAAATTTGCAAATGACAATACCCTGGCAGTTAAAGGTATTGGTGATGTTATGATTATGAGGAAAGATGGAAAAAGGTCAGTAATCTCCAATGTGTTGTACATACCAGGCATGAAGAGAAATTTGCTCAGTATAGGGAAGTTGGTCGAAAAGAATTATAAAGTGTCAATCGAAGATAAGTTGATGAGAGTCGTTGATGCAAATGGGAGAGTAATCTTAAAGGATACTATGTCTCATAATCGAACCTTCAAGATTGAACTAAATGTGATGGAGCACAAGTGCCTTTCGACTGCAGCTAGCAGAGATGAATGGATATGGCATTATAGACTAGGTCATCTCAACTTCAGAGACATCAGAGATTTGAAGAGAAGAAATATGGTTTCAGGATTTCCAGAAATTGACATTCCAAACGAGGTATGTGAGGAATGTGTGCAGGCGAAGCAACACAAGAATAGCTTCAGCAAGGATGCAGGAAGCAGATCGAAGGCTAGTCTTGAAGTCATATACTCTGATGTATGTGGACCAATCCAGGTGGATTCGATGGGAGGTAACAAATACTTTGTTACATTCATAGATGATTTCAGTCGAAAGCTATAGACTTACCTGATCAAGAAGAAAAGTGAAGTGATCAAAGTATTTACCAGGTTTAAGTCTATAGTCGAAAGACAAAGTAGTCGAAAGCTCAAAGTTTTGAGAACTGATGGTGGTGGAGAATATGTGTCAAAAGACTTCGACAGATTATGTGAAAAGGAAGGGATTGTGCATGAGGTGGTGCCACCCTATACTCCACAACAAAATGGAATTGCAAAAAGGAAAAATCAAACCATCATGAATATGGTGAGAAGTATGTTGAAAGGCAAGAGTTTACCTAAAGAGTTTTGGGGTGAAGCTGTTTCGACTGCAACATACATTTTAAACAGATGTCCTACAAAGAAGCTAGAAGGAATTACTCCAGAAGAATGTTGGTCTGGTGTGAAGCCTAGCTTGAGTCATCTGAAGGTATTTGGATCTCTTGCACATAGACATGTGCCAGATCAGTTGAGAAGAAAACTTGATGACAAGTCAAGTCAAATGATCCTAGTTGGATATCATTCGACAGGAGGCTACAAGTTGTTCGATACAGAAAACAAGAAGATTGTGATCAGCAGGGATGTGATCATAGATGAGTTTAAAGAATGGGATTGGACTGCAAATGTCAAGAAAGATTCAGTGGGAATCCTATTCGAAGAGCCAGAAACTCAAGTCGAAAGAGAAGTTTGACAAGAGGAACCAGCAGATATACCAAGTACAAGCAGACCTCAAAGAACAAGACGCATGCCTGCAAGATTGCAAGATTGTGTGATTACATCAGATGATGTAATAGATAATGAAGGTGAGCTGGTACATTATGCTTTCTATGCAGATGTCGAACCTGTTAATGCAGCTGAAGCATTAAAAGATTTGAAGTGGGTGAAAGCAATGAACGAAGAAGTAAAGTCTATCGAAGACAACAACACTTGGTCACTTGTCGAATTGCCTCAAGGCAAGAAGGCAATTGATGTCAAGTGGGTATACAAAGTGAAAACGAATTCGAAAGGTGAAGTAACTCGACACAAAGCAAGACTTGTGGCGAAAGGATTTCTACAGAAAGAAGGAATAGACTTCGACGAAGTTTTTGCACCTGTTGCTAGGATCGAAACAATCAGGTTGGTTGTTGGTCTAGCAGAAATAAACAGTTGGCACATATGTCAGATGGACGTGAAGTGTGCATTCCTAAATGGACCCTTAGATGAAGAAGTCTATGTTAAACAACCAGTTGGGTTTGTGAAACATGACGAAGAAAGAAAGGTGTACAGGCTACATAAAGCCCTGTATGGATTGAAACAAGCTCCAAGGGCTTGGAATAAGAAAATTGATAGTTTTCTAAGGGAGAAGGAATTTGTGAAGTGCACAACTGAACATGGAGTATATGTAAGAAGAAGCAAGAGTAAATTGCTTATACTATGTCTCTATGTAGATGATTTGTTGATAACAGGTAGCTGTAAAAGTGAGATTGAAGACTTCAAAGGTGATCTCAGCAAGGAATTCGAAATGTCTGATTTGGGTGAGATTTCATATTTCCTTGGTATCGAATTCTACAAGAGCAGTAGAGGTTTGATGATGCATCAAAGAAGATATGCAGGAGAAATTCTCAAGAGGTTTGAGATGGAAGAATGTAACTCAACTTCGACACCTGCAGAACCAAGACTGCAACTGTCGAAAGATGCAGATGAAGATGATGTTGATCCAACCCAATACAGAAGACTTATTGGATCATTAAGATATCTTTGTCATACAAGGCCTGACTTAGCATACAGTGTAGGTATGGTAAGTAGATTTATGCAGAAGCCAATGGTATCACATCTAGCAGCAGTGAAGAGGATACTAAGGTATCTCAAAGGAACTTTCGATTATGGCATTTTGTTTCCTGCAGTTGATAAAGAAAAAGAATGCAAGTTAGTGGAATACACTGATTCGAGTTGGTGTAGTGATGCTGAAGATCGAAAGTCAACAACAGGATATGTGTTTATGCTAGGTGGTGCACCAATTGCTTGGAATTCAAGAAAGGAACCAGTAGTGGCATTATCATCATGCAAAGCAGAATACATAGCTGCTTCTCTTTGTACATGTCAAGCAACTTGGATGGTGAACTTGGTCGAAGAGATAACAGGGAAAAATCATGGAGCAATTACCATGAAGATAGACAGCATGTCAGCTATTAATCTGGCAAAGAACCCAATAGCACATGGTCGAAGTAAGCACATCGAAATGAGATTCCATTATCTTCGAGAGCAGGTAGCAGATGGGAAGATGAATTTGGAACACTACAGAACTGAGAATCAGATTGCAGACATCATGACGAAGGGGGTGCAAGTCGAAGTATTCAGAAAGCTAAGAGCCATGACGAACATAGACAGTTTAGACACAATGAATTAGGTGGTGTGTTAAATTATAATTCATAGTGTCAAAGAAGATTTGATTTATTTTAGATTTAAATAGATTTGATTTAAGTCCAGAATAGATTTGATTTGATTTGATTTAGTAACAAAAAGATATTTTGGGCTTTGGGCTTATGGTGTAAGCTCAGTTATAAATAGAGGGAGTAACCCCTATTTTTCAAAGCAAGTCAAGTAAGTCAATTCATTGTAATCACAGAATTTGCAGTTGCAAGTGATTAAGAAAGTTTTCCACAGTTTGTGGGCAGAGAGAAACTCTGCAAAAATATTTGTCTTGTCTTCTTTTCTTTGTTTGTCTCATAATTAAATTGTCATTGTGGTAGAAATTCATCATAGAATTTGGTGGATTTCCAACAATTACAATGTGGATATTATTTATAGAACATTAAAAATACAAAAAATTTAAGAATTAAGAAATATAGAAAGTGGAATAAATGAACATCAACCTCTATTTATCATTATTCATAACAAAGAATGTGTTTTAAATCTCAATTATTTTATAACATTTATATAAATATCTTAGAGAAATTCACATCTCAAATTAATGAAATTATTATTCTCACCATGAGTTATCACTTTTTAAATCTCTTGTTGTATCTTCAAACAAATTTAATTACATATACATCAAATTATAAAATGTCAGTTAATTTATTTACATATTAACCGTGGATACTAATATTTCCAATAAATGACCCAAGTTATCATGTCCGTATAAAATCCAATCAAACTCATGGCATGCAATGCAATCAAATAATAGTAATTAAATTCAAGAAAGCAATAGCTACTATACTACACTACTTCATTCATCCTCATCATACCAAATAAAAAAGAAGTCATCTAGCATCTGAGTGCATAAAAAACCCAGCACAACATAGCACGCAGCGTAACAAACCAAAAAATATAAAACTTGTTTGATGTGTCGGCAACATTATTAACTGGTCATGAAACGCAGGCACCAGGCACCAGACACGTGGAAATGAACCCCAACATTTTTTTCTGCATATACATTACATTAAACTCAATATATTATTAACATAGTAATTAATCTAATCAAATCAAAATCAGGATAACAAATTTCACAACATTTAATAGTAAAAATCAAAAAGTGACTAACCCGTTTGGTTTTGCGAAGAAGTTGTGGAGAAATTTTGTAGAGATCTTCGTCAACTGCTTTTTGAAGTCTGGTTGGTAAAGGAGCCTTTCCAACGACGTCGTTTACATCTAATGTCTTCTTCTTGCTCATTGTCGGTTTCCTTGGGGGTTCCGTTACATCGTACACTTTGCTCTGTTTTCTCATGGTTGTTTCTCTGTTCCTCGTCGTCTACACATAATAATCCACACACTCTTTCTACCTCACATATCTTGTTCTTATCTGAACCAAACAAAAATGTACTATAAATACGATTAAACAAGATCTTGTTACCTTTTCAACTGGATTCTTGGAATCAACTGCATACAGATCTTGTTCTCCGTGCAGGTAAGAACCGCTCTCGCCAGATGAAGAACTGTAACGAATCAAACCAGCTTGTCTTGCATTCTCGAAGTACTGAGTTATTGGCAACTCGTTCGCAATATCCCAGTTTCCGAAAGCTGGTATTTGACCACTTCTCTTCCAATATTCCTAACAATAACAAACAACTTGAATCATTTTTCATCAACTTTAACCACTAGTATAACTTATGAAAAAGAAAAGGTTCGTTGAAATATAAGCTTACATCCATTTTTGGTTTCTTAAATCAAAACAAAACACCTTGCTTCACCCAGAAAGTGACTGTCTCTATTGTTTTGTTGTGCTTGTGGCTTTACAAGAGAAAACTTTGAAAGGGAGAAAAGTAACAAGTAAGGATGATGTGGTTCCCAAAAAACCTCAGACAGGGTTATAAATTCCCTGAACAGAATTTATAGAAAAAGTGAGAGGAATGGGTTAATAAAGGTTTTTTTTAGTTGTGAAGACAGGGAGAGTAAGAAAGGGCTGCATTGAAATTGAACAGAGAGAAGCAGAGAAAAGAGAAAGAGGTATTGATAAGATAGAACAACAAAAACAGAAGCTGGCAAGAATTCTGTTGTAGCATTGGCTTTGTTCCTTTTACTACTAAAACACACAATACTAACAAAGTAAGAAGAGAGATAGGTGTGGTAGTTGAATTGTAATTTATGTGTAAGGAGGATTAAGAATGAATTTCAATGCTATGAAGCTGTCACTGTTTCACTCTGTTGCATTCACTTTTCCACTTATAATCGAATCACCCCTACCTAATGCAACCATAGCTCCATTGTGTAGAATTTTTGGTAATAAAAGTTGCAAAACGTTTTCAATAGAAAAGAAAAACTTTAATTTATTCTATACTTGTGGGGGTCTGTTTCAATGGGAAAGAAAAGTTGAATCTATTATGTATTTATGGATCTGTGTTTTTTCGAGCAAAATAGATCTCACGCTTTTGTTTTACTCCATATGCCATATATATCCCACACATGGCAATCTAGGTTTTGCTTCTTAGTTGAAATGAGTTCAAACAATCTGGATCTCAAAAACTTACTAGAGTGAAATATAGCCACAATGTTTAGAAAATAATTATATTAGGAAATTTCTCTCACCACCTTTATACTTTTTCTAAAATATCAGACAAAAATGTTAAAAATATCTATTTTTAGAGATATATCCAGGAACATATTAAATTCAATTTTTTTATAAAAAAAAAAAAGTTTTGAGATATATTTTTGAATTTTTTTAAAATTAATTTGCAAATATAGTTCCGAAACTACATTTTAACAAAAAAAAAAAGAATAAAAAAAATTATTATTATTATATAGAATTTTTAGAAGCAGTATTTATAAGAAGAGGATTATAATTATTATAGAAAATAATAATAATTATAGTAAATAATAAATAATATTATTTATAGGAAGAATATAAAATTTTTATTTCAAGAATTGAATTAGTCTAGAAACGAGATAAGAAAACAAGAATACTAATAATAATAATAATAATAATAATAATAATAATAATAATAATAATAATAATAATAATAATAATAAATAATGAGATTTTATGAGGAATAAAAAAAAATTTAATCGATGGAATTGAGATAGTTTTTTTGTTGAGAAAATGATGGTAATTGGAACAAATATGGTAATTAGAACGATTTGTTTTTTAGAAGAGTAAGAATGGATACAACGCTCAATGCATCTCCTCAATCACCACATGAGTTTTTTTTTGTTTAGGTGTATTTTCGGAGATACATCTTCGATTTAACCTCAGAAAAATTCGGAGATGTATTTCCAAACTATTTTTTTTGCAAAAATTAGGATTTGGTGCGTTCGAAGATGTATCTCCGAATAAACTCAAAAATATTGTGATTTTCAGAGGTGTGCCACACTCCATAAAGGTGTACAGAGAAATTCCCCAATATTAAAAGGTTGGTTTACAAAAGCTCATTTCCCATTACAAGTGTTGAAAAGAAAACGCGTAGAATATTAGGATTTTCGTCTTTGGTGAGAATATACGATCACACAATTCATAACATCTCTCACTATTAGATCTAATCAAGTGACAATCTACACAGGACGTCAAATTACACACGAACGGTTTTAATCGCTAATATAAAAATAGTTGTTGTTATATTAAGTAAAATGTTTAATGTTGTTGTTGTTCTTGAGAATTAATATTTAAGGATTCTATAGATTTTTTTTGTTTTTGTTTTTGTTGTTGTCGTTGTTGTTGTTTTTGTTAATATTTAACGTTTATTAATTTTATTGATTTAAATTTATATTGTTGTTTTTGTTGTTATTATTGTTGAAATTTAATATTTAGCGATTTTATTGATTTTGTTGTTGTTGTTGTCGTCCTCTTAAAAATATTGAACATTCTTTGTAGTTATGGAAGTTGTCAATATTTTACAACATGGACGTGTATGTGAGACAACTTTATGAAAAAAAATTCAATGTTTTTAGCCAAAACAAGTGACAAAGATGCAAAAATATTATCTTGAAATTTTAATATTGAAGATTATTTTCAATGTTCAATTTATCCATTAAATAGTATTTTTGTAGTCAAGAATTGATTAAAGTCCTACTATTTGGTGTTGATGTACCACATTCTCAGTTGGGAGAAGACTTAAGTCTTTTTATAATTGTCGCGCGCTTAGTCTTTTTCAATAGTATATGTGCAACTTTTTTATGAAATCATATTTAAATAACACTTTGTTCGTTTGTTGAATATTATAATGTGGTAGCATCAATAAATTTGTTTTGTGTCACAAAGTACGGGAATTATTTCTGCATGTGTTCATTAATTCAAGATCTCATAAGAGAATTGACATAGTGGAATGATAAGGTAATCTGCTAGATTTATGTATTCCTCATGTTAATCGTAATCATGATTTTTTATAGGTTGTATCTTATGTCACTCTATTTTGTTCTTGATATGTTGGCTTAACAAACTAAAGATTGAAAAGATAAAAAAAATATTTGGTTGCTTCTTTTTTTAATTTTTTTATTATTCACCATTTTCTTTTTTATTGTGATATCTTCTCTGAATGATGTAATTTCTTCTTTCTTGAACAAATCTTTATGCTTTAATGAAATAATTATATTGATAAAACAAAGAGATAATGTTTTGTTCAGCCTAAAATTGGTAGAAGCATAATAGTTGCACCTTCTTTTTTTATTTTTTGATTGAAAATAGCTTACATTTCACGCGGTTTGTGTGAAGTTAAGCTTCTTCAACATCATATTTTGATGAAGGCAACTACTATGTACATTTATCAAAGGATGAGAAAAAGAATCATGAAGCAATATGGCTATGGATCAAGATTGCAACATTATAAGACTTGCATTGATCTTGATTTGTTGAGTTATAAGCATGCAATATATATTGATAAATAGTGCTCAAAATAATCTCCAAAATTCACTTGCATGCATGGTTTATTTGGTTGAAAATATCTCAACATTTCTAGCTTTAAAATAAAATATTTTTTATCATACATTTGAAAATTTATTTTCATGTATGAACCATGTTAAATCACTTTCAAATATAATATATTGACTTGCATAAATAAATAGATGTTGTATAAGGTTGGTTCAAAAATTTAGACAATTTTTAAATTTTTTTAAACGTTCAACTTTTTTGTAAATTAAGGCGATTTGAACCGCCGTAACAGAACAAAAATCTCCCTAATTTACAACGTTCTGGAGCAGTATTTTATTTTTTGAAATTCAAATATAATGTTCTGAATTTGTTAAGCCAGGTATCCGTTAAAATTGAATTTGAAAAAACAATACTTTTTTTAACACCTTTTCATGCAGGTTTTCATGAAATCATTTCATTTTAACTTGACAATTGTTCATGATATTTTTGCAGACCTTTACCATGGTTGATAGAGGTGTTATGCTTATATAAATACATGAAATTTCAAATTACAATTCACCTCTTCCATTACAATTAACATAATTATATTCATTCATTTTCAAAAACAAGTGTTTTGATATTTCAACTTTCATTGAGAATTTTTCTACATGTGTTCTTCATATCATTTCAGAAAAATTCCTTCATTATTCATAAACACTTGAGAATTAATATATATTTATATATTACTTATTTGGAATAGAAGATCAATCATTGTTATTGATATATATTCAGCAAATTTTTAATTAATATTTTTTATATTTATTTGTAAATTCCTTGTTGTCCAAAATTGTTAGAAACAAGAGAGTAGAAAGGAAATGCTTGTTTTATTGTACTACTTGTTTGGTTTATTCTTTGCTATTCAGGATTGTTGGAAGCAAGAAGTTGAAAGTGAGAGGATTGTTCTCATTTCAACTTGGTTGATCCAAGATGATTGTGAAGAAGTGAAAAACACAATAAGGGGGGTGAATTGAAACTTAAAAATCAAATGCAATAGACTCAAGATTTTTATCCTAGTTCACTTGATCTCAAACTACTCCAGTCCACCCACCAAGGTGATTTCTCCTCTCTCCAACGATGACTTAATCCACTAATCAAACAGATTACACAACTACTTTGACAACTGCAAAGTCTTCTTGAGTATGACCACAACCCGGTTTATCTCAAGGAACAATATCTTAATCAAAGAACAATTAATTGTGTACTATATTTTTTTCGTAACAAAAACTGTATCACTATTGTGATGTATTACACGATTTGAGCATATGAAAGAATATGAGTATTTGCAGCTTTTTGAGATGTATGAGCAGTCGTTGGTGAAATCGTAAATGATTTATCCTTTGAGCTTGTTTATATAGGCGTGGAAATCTTTCCAAAATAAAACGTGATAATGGACACTCAATGCACTTTCCATATTGAGATGATTCTTGTCTGAATGAATTCGTTGCATATGATATTGTCTTAATTGAAACGTAACGCTTCAGAACTTGAGAATCTTGCATGGTGCTTTATTTCAAAACTTTGATGACTCAGAGATATGAGGATCTGTTGGCGCGTTAGACTTCTGTTCAGAATCAGAGTATCTTTTACTTTAGCGTAAATTCTGATCATCATTCTTTAGAACATTCTGATTAGCTCAGCTTGAAAGCTTCTGTGGCTTAACTTCTGATGTTGTTTCAGTCAGAACTTATGTATAAAATACAACACAAATTTAGAGTGCATATTTGTTCTTTATGTTTGTTATTATCAAAACTCTTAATTAAGGGTTGTAGAATCAAATTATGTTCTAACAATCTCCCCCTTTTTGATGATGACAAA